TTTCATTGTCGACCAAAACCATTCTGCTCTTGGTGTCATTGACAGTTGTATAAAATCTTAAGAGACTTAAACCAACCACAAGGTGGTGAGGTAGATGAAATGTCATATGACGACAAGTATAGACACTTCTCCATGGCAAAGATGAGACAAGTTTTAAATATTTACAATAGCCGTAAACAAAAAGGTTTGGGAAACCACTCCCCCGAAGAAATGAAAAACAACCCCGACTTAGAGAAAGACTTTATATTTAACAATTTAGTCAAAAGAGACAAACAAGAAAGAATGCCAGGCTTCAAACTTAAAGAAAGGTGACAAAGTAAAAAATAGAAATACCTAAACGCGACCCATATGAAAATACTATTGACTATGACAACAATGGGAACTCGACAGGTACTCACATTCGTGTTCGTAAAATAGAAGAAAGTATACAAGAGAATATTATGAAGTTTTAGGCAAACATGGCAAAATGTACACACTGCAAGCAGAAGATAAAACTACTATTGTCAGACCTCGTTTCAAACTTGTCAAAGTTCAAGGTGGTATACTTTCAAAGACAGTTCCTAAACAAATATAAGACAACTCCTGACGAATATGCTAAAGAAGTTGAAAATGACGACTAAGCATTTCTATACCATGCGTAAACTGTCATGTAAGGTGGCATGTAGTCTTTACTCTGTCCCGTTGTTTGCGTATACCCTGAAACGCGATGTGTATGGCTTCCTCCTACCTCAGTGTTACTCAGTAACAATTTATAGCAAACTTAACGTCCTCTTTAACATCATATCCTTTACCTTTTGTCATTCCTGACCAATCCCAAAATCTATGACTATGCAAACCTGCTTCAGATGTAGTTAAACTTACGTAGTGACTGTGCGCAGGTAAATTTGCACCTGAAATCGTTTTACTTCCACCTGTTTCCTTTGAAGAGTTTGCACAATACAAAAACCTGTCGACTATTTGAGTCCAAGTTCCGAGACCAAGTACTACTTCTGGTCTGGTAGAGTTCATTGACGTGTAAATAGAACCTATAGGATATAGTGTTTGAAGTATTTCTGTCTTTAACGTTTGAAGCTCTGTTTTGTCAGTTTTATCATATAAATCTTGAGCAGTGAATTTAACTTTGTTTCATCCTCCATGACATAGACATTCTACATCTAATGTATCTCATCGTTGTTATGTCTTCTTCCGATGTTAAACCTTGTGGAAAGTTAGGAGGTTTCCAATCTAATACATCCCCACCAGCTCCTTCAACCGTTCCTTCAATATTTTCTATACCAACAGTTGCGAAGAAATCGTGTGTATGTCCAACGTCACTTTTCTTGTTTAAGGTTTCTTGTAAGTTTGTAATATCAGATATGGTATGTGTATGAGTCTTTTAGAATATTCTTTGTCAGCTCTTGTCACTTCACTTGACATTTTATTGTCAACATATGTTTTATCTGCTTTGTCATCTAACATTGCTGGTAGTTCATCTACGTCATAGATGTTATGGTATGATGTTTTTGTGGGTATGTTCTATCTGTCCATGCGAGAATATAGTCTCTTGTTGCATCTACATATTCTTTGTCAGCTTTGTTGTCAATATCTGCTTTCAAAAGAAGTTCATTTATAGGTTTCTCGTTTAAAGTTCCTTTTGTTGGATTTATACAGACAGTATGGTTCTTATTGTCTTGAAACAGAAACTCATCTGTCATTGGGTTTAATGTCAGTTTTAAGTTTCCTTCTTTCAATGACTCAGATATCTTAGAATAGTTTGAAAAGTTTGTTGTGTTCTTATTTAGAGCTTGCATAATGAGTTGTCGGTTGTGTTGTATTTCTCTCATAGACGCTGTTTCATTTGACATTTTTATTCTAGATAAAATATGCTTCCAATAGAAAAAGAAAATTCAAGAGTTGCTACAACTAAACCATTAGATGAACTTTTTACTAATGTCGGTCAAAAGTTTGAGACAGAGACCGTAAAGCATGAAGGCTATCGTTTTGACTACCCGTTAAGATGGTTAAGAGACCCATCTGTCACAAAAGCTATTGGCTTTCGTAGAATGAAGTTTGTGTCTGTAGAAGATAAAAGTTTTCCATTTATTGTAAGGTTTCATATAGATTATATATCTGAAGGGAAACGAAAAATGTGGGAAGAAATTGAGCTAATACAAGTTGACCTTTCATCTTCTCTACAGACTGCGTTAAAAAATATAGAAGATAAAATAAATTCATGTTATGCAAAATATGCTGATGAATATGCAAATACCGAGAGCACACTTTATGTGAGAATTGTATATGACAAACAAAATTCACAAGTGTCATTTCAAATCTACGAAGACAATCCAAAGAAAGACGAACAAATATATACAGAATTCACTGCAATGTCATGGTATTATTTGCAAAGAATGTTAAATCAGAAAGTCGAACTTCCTTTAGCAAATATTTACAGTCGATATGCAAGAGATGAACCATATTTATTTAAAGATGTTTTCGACCCAGCTGCTATTATTGTTCATGCTTCATTTTCTGGCGCTCAAAACTCTTTCTTATGCTTGGCAAATGACTTTTACGAAAAACCTACAAAGCTATATGAACCACCAAGTGGAAGTATTTCAGACTTTCAAGTATGGTTTACTACAGATGGAAGAAAGAGAATAATTCCATTATACCATGCGTTTTACTTAGAACTTAGTTTCATATACAACTACTATCGAACGGTAAAAATATAATTTTTTAATACGGTTGAGGTGTTGGATTTGGTTGCCAACTAGACTGTGGTGCAGGTTCAGGCTGTTGTATAACAGGAGCTTGTTCTTCTGGTTCAGGGTCTTTAGGTATAATACCAACAAACTGACCTACTCTTTTACCAATATTTTTGACTCCGTTCCAAATTCCTCTTCCTACGGTTTTTATTCCATTCCATATACCTCTTCCAACATTTCGAAAGAAGTTTCCAATACTACTGAAGAAACCCATTTTACTATATGTAAAAATCTAATGTCCGCCTAGTCTCTTACGTTTCCTGTTGAGTTCCATAGCATTCTTTAACTGGAGCTCATACATTCTGTTTCTCCTCTGGTAGAAAACATATTCTGGGTCAACTCCTGTGTTCGCGTCATCTGCATAAAGTTGTTTATATCCCACTTCAGGGTTTGTATAAAACTCTTTCCATCTCATATTTGCATACCATGGTGGCAAACCTAACGCAGCGTCATTTGACATGGCAGTTTGCATTTGTACATCTGTTGGCACTTGACCATAGTTTGCCATTGCAGTTTGTATTCTAACTTCATTTGGAATATTCTCTGGGTTTGGTTGTCCAGGTTGCTGTGCATTCGCTAAGTTCTGTGCGTCCATTTAATATTAGATAAAAATATCTCTTACGAGTACATATACTGAACATTTGCAGGCATTGGTTCATCTTCATATTCTCTATATCTTTCTGCCACGTCAAATAAGTAAATGACACAATGGAAAAAACCTAAAACAAGTAGTCCTATTTCAAACCACATTTACTTACTAGTAAAATTTCTTTGTTATGACACTTTCTCCAGTTTATAGGACCTCTCTCATATTCTATCTTATCGTATCTAAACTCATAGTCATGTATGTCCTCTAACCATCTCATGACACTTTCCAAACCACTTTTATCGGATGTAAAGTAAAAGCATGGATGGTTATGTAAAACGTCTAAAGTTTCTAAAGAGTCTCTCAAAGTCCAGTCTACTTGGTATTGAAAATCCCATGTGTTATAGAACGGCGGGTCTACTATAAAGAAAACATTTTCCTTGTCTTTATATTTTTCATACAACTCTGTCCAATGACATCTCACAAACTCTATACCCTCAATATATTTTTCTATGTCCTCTTTGAAAACATTTGTATAGTTGAGATATAAAACTTTTGACATAAGTGTTTCAATGTCATGAACTCTTATAGCACCACTATATAATAGTCTAGCAGATATACTATCCCAGTCTATATATTCTGCTTTTTTCAAAACCTCTCTCACAATATTTTTCTTATCTAATGGTATACGTTCCATCTTACCTATAGGTATCTTTTCTTTTAACTCTTTCAATATTTTGTTAGTGTCTGGAATATGTTTGAGACGGTTCATATAGTTGTCGAAGTCATTGCATATAATCTTTGAGTCAGGAAATACAGTATGGCACAAATGGGATATATAGAAACTTCCACCGAACAAATCTACAAATGTTAGACCATTCGGTAGTTTCTTAAGTTCTCTCAATAGAATATCTTTACATCTACTCTTATTTCCAAAGAAGGGTAACGGTGGTTTTGTAAAATTCATTTATATATAATAATAAAAATGTTTTTTCCTGAAAAGTGACAGAAAAGTGACAAAACATGTACGAAGAAGTCTTGAAAATTCAAGAGGGTAGAAAAGAGGTTAGAAAAGAGGTTATATCTAACCTTCTACCCTAAACATTATTTTTGTCTGATTTTACGAAGAAGTCTTGACAAAACATGAAAACATATATAATTTGTGAAAAGCTCCTGGAAGACCCGTATATAAGAACTTCATTTATACTAAACATCTTCAGGGCTAGAAGGGGCGCAGCCCCTGGAAGCCCCAATACTTTTTTTTTTTTTTTTTTTTTTTTTTTCAACAATTCCTTCGCAAACAGCGGGAAACTTTGTCCGAATAGTTTAACATTCGGACAAAGTTTCCCAACTTTCAAGCCGAAATTCGCGGATACCATTCACCAACTAGCTCTTGCTATGATGGTTATTAAAAATCAAGATCTATATTAAATTCAAAATCTATTCAAAGTCACTAATGTTCGATTTCGGAGTGTCAAATTACTGTACTACAGTTGCTGCTTCTTCTGCAACTTGCGTATCTCTGTAACGAAGAAAAAAAATATGTAAATGTTTTAAAAAGTAAGTGTTTATTCTTATTAATCTGACTGAGCTTAGTAAGAAGATGTAATCGATATTGTTAATTTGTGTTAAAAATTAGATTTTATTTTCGATTTTAAAATATTACCGAATTAATTTCTTTGATTGGCTCTCCTCTCGCGGAAATGTTGAAGAGAAATCCTCAAATCCTTAATTTCTCCATCAACTTTCCAAAGGGGTTCTTTGGTGGTATCATATTTTTCGCTGATATCATAAAATTTGTTTGGTGTAAACCAGGTATGTATTTCTGGATTTTTTGGTAACTGTGTATGTGGTGTTGCGTTATAATTTTCGATTAAATTTTGAATTTGACCCCAAGCTACCTCATCAACTTGAATATTCTGCCAAAATCTTTCGATTTTGCCATTCATGTAAGTTATACCACTCATTTGAAAATTATAAGTTTTGAAAAAAACCGTAAATCATTATTGAATCTAAAAATATTTATGTACAAAAAGTCGGTATATATTCTATAATTATTTAAAATAATGAAAAAGTTGATTTGTGAATCATTGAAATATTAATGCTGTTATATATATATCAGATGATATAAGATGATTTTTTTAAATAAAAAATAAAATTTAATTTTTTAATTGTTAAAATAAGAATAGTAAGCTTGACAAGTAATTTAAGTTTTTGCTTTGTAAAGTTATTTGGTTGGCAAATGCATTGTGTCACTTTTTGTTTGAGTTCACTTTCCGTAATTTGTCTTATGATAGTAGTTCCATCGTCTGCAGAAACAAAAGTAGGTTTGTTTCCATATTGGTTAGGTTCTGAATGAACTTTAAACAATGTTTCATTTCTATATGTTTTGTTGAAATTTAACCTTTTATTTTCACCGAGTTCATCCAAAGATTGAACGTTATATGCTCGTAAGTAAAAAGGATTGTTGTATTTGTGTACATTATCTTTCAGTACTTCCATTCTATGCTGGATATTTTCATCTGATGTTGGAGTCTTTTGTATGTCGGCGAACATTTTTCGATATTCTTCTACTATGTCAGCTGAATTTTTCTTAGACTCTTGGAAAGATTCCATATTCTCCGCATACTCTTGTTGAGGGTCAAGATTTTTCGGCTGTTCCAAATCTTCATCTAGTTCTGTGAAGTTAGTTTCCAAAGGAGGGATTTGTTCGTTTCCTTCAGGCTCTTCTAGCTGTTGTTGCTGAACTATTTCTTCCATGTCTGGTTGTATCTGAACTTCTTCCTGTGGAGTTTCTTGTACCTCATCTGCTGGCATTTCATATATTCCGAGACCGTTTTTAAAAAGTTCCCTATCTAAGTCATCCGGACTCATAAACCTTTCTTCTTTCGTTCCGTCTCTATTTTTTACGCGTTTCATGAAGAGAGTTGAATTATCGTTTAGCTCTGACACCAAATATCTTGGAGTAAATTCAGTCATGTCATTTGGATGATATGCTATTAAATCATATCCCTTAGCGAGCTTGTATTTTCCAGGTTTGAAATTATATCCCATTTGGTGCTGAACCATAAAGCTAAATAGGTTCGGGTCAGTATTTCCTTCCTTGAACTTTCTAATAGCTTCTTTATATCTGTCACTAAAGTCAAGAGTATCTGGGTAACCATAGTCTTCCTTAAGCATTTTTAAGAATTCTTGGTTTCCTTGTTCTCTACTTCTTTTATGTCCTTGCTCTGTTTGTGGTTGTGGTGCTGGATTTTGAACTGTTGGTTGTGGTGCAGTGTTTTGAACTGTTGGTTGTGGTGCAGTGTTTTGAACTGTTGGTTGTGGTGCAGTGTTTTGAACTGTTGGTTGTGGTGCAGTGTTTTGAACTGTTGGTTGTTGTGTTGGTTTTGGTGCATGCCTGTGTCTGTGTCCATGTGACGATGTAAATGTTTTAGGTAGTCCTGGTGCAGGTGCTTCTCTTGGAGGGTTTGGTGGTATATAAGTTCCACTAGCTAGTATATAAGTTCCACCAGCTGGTATATAAGTTCCACCAGCTGGCACATATGTTCCATCTGCAGCATAATGTCCTACCTGACTTTTCGTTTTTAAGAAAGCATTTACTAGGTCTGTTTTGGTCTGTTGTAACTCTTTTTCTTGACTTTCCACAACAGTTGCTCTAACGGCGTCATAGGCACTTTGAACTGCCTGTCTCGTTGCTGCATCTGTTATTTTCGTCATATTTTGTGCTACTTCTCTTAACTCTTTGTCGAAACCTTCAGACTTCAGTTTCTTTCCAGATGAGAAGTCGTTCACTAGTTTCACCTTACTATGAAGAGCTTCGAAGGCGTTCTTAAAGTCAGCATTCATTAAAGCTTCATTTGAACTGTCTTCATCCGCTTGTATTTTTGTCCTTATTGACCCTATAAGTTGGGCTGCTTTAGCGTTGGCTTGGGCATCTAACCAGTCATTATTAGCTTTTATATATTCTGCGCTTTTCATTGCCTTTTGCATGGCTGCGTCGTTATTTTTACTTTCTTGTGCTAAGTTTTCATACTGTACGGTTTGGTTTTGCAACTGTAAAAGTTTTTCTGCCTTTACATTTGCTTCAACTTCTTTTTTATACTCATCGCTATCCATATATGTCTTCAGGGCTTTTTGTTTTATTTCTTCATCTTTCAGTACTTTATATTGAGTAGTATGGTTTTTCAAATTTATAACATCTTGTTCCATTTTTGCTACTTCTGCTGCTTTTTCTGACACTTTTTTCGCATATTCCTCTGTACTTAGTTCTTTCAGTTGTTCTTCTTTCTTCTTTTTCTCTACGTTTAACTCATTGAGTTTCTTTGTGTGTCTGTCATATTCTAGTTTCTTTTCGTTTTCACTTATTTGTTTCTGTATGTCTATGTTTGACTTTTTGACATCTGTTATTTGATTTTTGAGTGAACTCAAATTCATTTGACTTTGAGGGTTATAAGCTGTTCCGTCTGCAGCTCCACCATAGCCTGCCATTTTCGCTAAAAGTGCCGCTCTTAAACCTCCACTCTGTGCACCAATAACTCGGTTTAAAAGCATAGGGTTGCTTGACATTTGTTGCAACATAGTGGGGTCATTCATAATTTGTTGTTGCAACTGTTGTTGTGGTGTCAGTTTTACTATTGGATGTTTCAATGCTCTCTTCCTCTTACGTATATTCTTACGTAGCTTACGTGGCATTTTAAGTGAAGTTAAAAAGCGGTTTTTGACAGATGTTTATATGACACTATTTGTTCAGCACAAAAAACTACTCGGTCAAAGTGTTGTCAGTTTTGTAAAATAACCGTCTTATCTCCGTGCCTATGACGATGAAATCATGAAAATTCAAGAGGTGAGAAAACAGGTGAAAAAACGGGTGAGATCTCACCTCTTCACCTAAACATTATTTTTGTCTGATTTTACGAAGAAGTTTTGACAAAACATTTACGAAGAAGTCTTGACAAAACATGTACGATGAAATCATGAAAATTCATGAGGGTAGAAAAGAGGTTAGAAAACAGGTTAGATCTAACCTTCTACCCTAAACTTTATTTTTGTCTGATTTTACGAAGAAGTTTTGACAAAACATTTACGAAGAAGTCTTGACAAAACATGAAAACATATATAATTTGTGAAAAGTGACACATTATATAATGTTTTCGACCCAGAAGACTAACAATTTTCCGAATAAAAACTTCATTTATACTAAACTTTTTATGGGCTAGAGGGCGCAACGCGCCTGGAAGCCCTCCGAATATAAACTTCATTTATACTAAACATCAACAGGGCTAGAAGGCACGAAGTGCCTGGAAGCCCCACTACCTTTTTTTTTTTTTTTTTATTATATAATTTTTTTCATGCTACTTATAGGTTCAAAAATCTTATAATATAAAAATATTTTCAAATACAAAGAAAATATGTGTTTATTTCAAATTTGAAAATTAGATATCTTGTGGGGTCCACTTTCCTCCTCTGTAATCACCTGTAGGGTTATCCTTAGGAAATCTTTTTGCATTTCTTGCCTTGTTGATCTCTTTTCTTGTTTCTGGTGTAGCTTTCTTTTGATTTCTGGATTTATTTTTCTCATATTCAAGTTTTTGGAGTTCGCGGATTGAAGGAGATATTTGGTAATTATTGACACGATTGTATATTTCTTGTTTGCATTTCTCTCCTTCGTTTTTTTGTAAAATTGTAACAGCCGTACGCATTTCAAACGATTTTGCGTTGTTTCCTTTGGGACACTGAGTAAGCATTGAGTGATGTATTGATTCATTTTGTTGTGTTTGAGCATTAGGATCAATTTCTGGAATCAACTTTGCGGCATCATCTGTAAAACGTTGAAATTGCTTCGCTAAATCAGGTTTTGTAAGTGGCTGAAACACAGGATATTCTTTGTCTTTTTCGTGAAGGCAATTTTCATGCCTTCCGATAAAATGATTTAATGTATTCTTCCATAGAAAAATTTTTTTCGTTGTTTCAATTGGAAGCATGATAATAAAAGTGAACCACTTAATAACTTTCGAATATATCTGATGAAATACTTTTTCTTGGTGTTTTAATGGTCTTCCACGTTTCTTCGGCTCTTCTGCTTTAGATTTGATTGGGAATGCTGGCTGTGAATCACTTTCTTTCTGTTGATTAACAGTTTCTTTTCCTGCTGCTTCTTTATATCCACCATTTTCAAGCTTTTCGAAAGCTCTGCCAACTGCACGTACACAATGACGAGGATCAAGTGTAATTTTAGCATTCGGAGAATATTGCTGGATGATGGCTTTCGTTTTATTGTCATTGTCATGAACCACTGTGGAAACATTTGTAAAGTCAAAATTTGACATCATCCTCTTTGTACATTCTGTTTCCATCATGTTGGATGGGCCTTCAAAGTCTCCTCCAGAGCTCTTTTTTATAACAGTTGTTTCACCAACAACTTTTCCACGGTTGTCCATCATTAAACTTTGGCACGCTGTAGCATTTCTGCCAACATTATAATGCGAATCAGTGCTTAAAAATATCATAAGACAAATTACGGAAAGTGAACTCAAACAAAAAGTGACACAATGCATTTGCCAACCAAATAACTTTACAAAGCAAAAACTTAAATTACTTGTCAAGCTTACTATTCTTATTTTAACAATTAAAAAATTAAATTTTATTTTTTATTTAAAAAAATCATCTTATATCATCTGATATATATATAACAGCATTAATATTTCAATGATTCACAAATCAACTTTTTCATTATTTTAAATAATTATAGAATATATACCGACTTTTTGTACATAAATATTTTTAGATTCAATAATGATTTACGGTTTTTTTCAAAACTTATAATTTTCAAATGAGTGGTATAACTTACATGAATGGCAAAATCGAAAGATTTTGGCAGAATATTCAAGTTGATGAGGTAGCTTGGGGTCAAATTCAAAATTTAATCGAAAATTATAACGCAACACCACATACACAGTTACCAAAAAATCCAGAAATACATACCTGGTTTACACCAAACAAATTTTATGATATCAGCGAAAAATATGATACCACCAAAGAACCCCTTTGGAAAGTTGATGGAGAAATTAAGGATTTGAGGATTTCTCTTCAACATTTCCGCGAGAGGAGAGCCAATCAAAGAAATTAATTCGGTAATATTTTAAAATCGAAAATAAAATCTAATTTTTAACACAAATTAACAATATCGATTACATCTTCTTACTAAGCTCAGTCAGATTAATAAGAATAAACACTTACTTTTTAAAACATTTACATATTTTTTTTCTTCGTTACAGAGATACGCAAGTTGCAGAAGAAGCAGCAACTGTAGTACAGTAATTTGACACTCCGAAATCGAACATTAGTGACTTTGAATAGATTTTGAATTTAATATAGATCTTGATTTTTAATAACCATCATAGCAAGAGCTAGTTGGTGAATGGTATCCGCGAATTTCGGCTTGAAAGTTGGGAAACTTTGTCCGAATGTTAAACTATTCGGACAAAGTTTCCCGCTGTTTGCGAAGGAATTGTTGGCTATGATGTACTGATTCATGATCAGTACATCATAGCCAACAATTCCTTATACAAAGTTCAAAAACTTGGGTGCAATCAGAACTGATTGCACCCAAGTTTTTGAACTTTCTCGAGGGAATGAAAGGGTAAGAGGTATACATTATGAATATATACCTCTTACCCTTCCATTCCCTCTCTGACAGCGGGAAACTTTGTCTGAATAGTTTAACATTCAGACAAAGTTTCCCGCTGTTTGCGAAGGAATTGTTGGCTATGATGTACTGATTCATGATCAGTACATCATAGCCAACAATTCCTTATACAAAGTTCAAAAACTTGGGTGCAATCAGAACTGATTGCACCCAAGTTTTTGAACTTTCTCGAGGGAATGAAAGGGTAAGAGGTATACATTATGAATATATACCTCTTACCCTTCCATTCCCTCTCTGACAGCGGGAAACTTTGTCTGAATAGTTTAACATTCAGACAAAGTTTCCCGCTGTTTGCGAAGGAATTGTTGGCTATGATGTACTGATTCATGATCAGTACATCATAGCCAACAATTCCTTATACAAAGTTCAAAAACTTGGGTGCAATCAGAACTGATTGCACCCAAGTTTTTGAACTTTCTCGAGGGAATGAAAGGGTAAGAGTATACATTATGAATATATACCTCTTACCCTTCCATTCCCTCTCTGACAGCGGGAAACTTTGTCTGAATGTTAAACTATTCAGACAAAGTTTCCCGCTGTTTGCGAAGGAATTGTTGGCTATGATGTACTGATTCATGATCAGTACATCATAGCCAACAATTCCTTATACAAAGTTCAAAAACTTGGGTGCAATCAGAACTGATTGCACCCAAGTTTTTGAACTTTCTCGAGGGAATGAAAGGGTAAGAGGTATACATTATGAATATATACCTCTTACCCTTCCATTCCCTCTCTGACAGCGGGAAACTTTGTCTGAATGTTAAACTATTCAGACAAAGTTTCCCGCTGTTTGCGAAGGAATTGTTGGCTATGATGTACTGATTCATGATCAGTACATCATAGCCAACAATTCCTTATACAAAGTTCAAAAACTTGGGTGCAATCAGAACTGATTGCACCCAAGTTTTTGAACTTTCTCGAGGGAATGAAAGGGTAAGAGGTATACATTATGAATATATACCTCTTACCCTTCCATTCCCTCTCTGACAGCGGGAAACTTTGTCTGAATGTTAAACTATTCAGACAAAGTTTCCCGCTGTTTGCGAAGGAATTGTTGGCTATGATGTACTGATTCATGATCAGTACATCATAGCCAACAATTCCTTATACAAAGTTCAAAAACTTGGGTGCAATCAGAACTGATTGCACCCAAGTTTTTGAACTTTCTCGAGGGAATGAAAGGTAAGAGATATCCATTTCCTTTCACCTTCGTTCTCAATAATTAACTTATAAATTTTTTAAAGCAAAAAAAGTCTGATTTTTTTTGACAAGTAAATATATAGGGAATTTATCCGACTAAATAAGTGTCACTTTTTCGGTTCACCTCACTTTCCGTAACTCGTCTTACAACACTACAATGAGATGGGGTCATAAAGCTAATCCGGATAGGTGGTTCATAAACTTACAACCACAATTCCAAGAAGTTGTAGACGCAATGGAAGTGAATGGTGAACCAGATGTAGCTGGTATTTTCAGCGCGGCTTTAATGCCATTGAAAGATATGAAAGATGCAGATATTTTGGACCAGTATGAAATGAACATGGCTGATGGAAATATAACACCTGACGTTCTAGAACATTTATCTCAAAGAACTACACAGAACCATAGAGATGGTATATTTGGTGAAGAGTTTAGAAAGAAAGTTAGGGAGAGAGAAGGAAGAGAACCTATTGTACATGACCTTGCAAACGAAAGTTTACAAAATGTCATAAAAACTTACTTTGCAGACAATGAACCGAGAAGGGATGAATATTTAAGAAAACTCAAATGGACAGTACCAAATGAAATGTTAGTATTGAAAAACATGTTCCTTGACAAAATAAAACCAACTACAGAAATAAATGACGCAAGACTGAAACATTGGGTAAAAGCTTTCCCATTCACAAAAGATATTATTGGTAACATGGAAAGAAAACCAGAATGGCTACAAAAACATATATTTGGAAACGAGCTTATTCCATATGGACAAGCTATATTTGAAGAGCTTGAACCGGAAACTCAGGAAAGAGTCATGCAAACAATACGCGAAGACTCAAATACAAACTATGACAAAATCTTTCTAGGATATAGGTTACCTGAGATGGGCGACCAGAGCCCAAAGGCAAAAAGGACATGGAAAATTTACAACATACTAGGTGAACATGAGGCAAAGATGCAACAACTTGAAGCAGAGGGCAAGTTACCAAAAGCGACACCAAAGAAGAAGAGTAGAACAAAGTAAAGCTTGGTCCGAGTGGGTTCTATTATGATATATAAATCCAACTATTCTATATTTTTACCCATATGAAATGTACGCCGCTCAGAATATAACGCCAACAGTTTTGGATGCCATGAACGGAAATGTTTCCGAATGGTATAACGAATGCGACAATGCCATTAGAAGGTCAGAAATAGTTCCTGGAACTTACGAATATACAACTGCTGTTTCTTATGGAAACGTAGGTGAGTTTGGAGAAGGTTCTTCAACAACAGTAGATATTGCTTGCGACAGGTTTCATATTATTTCTATTGACAACTCATTCTTATACGTGGAACAAGACATTGAAATAAAACCTTCTGCCAAGTTGTCTGACAAGAAAGGTTGCAATGGAATTTTCTATGTCGGATACCAATATGCTCCAGAAGTTTTCATGGGATATAAGATATATTCTAACTCTGACTTAGTTCAAACAGTAACATGGGCAAACTATGAATGGTTCGCTTTGAGAAACTCAGTACAACCACAAGCTAGAGAACAAACAGACCAGTATGCAAATATTGAGAAAATAAGAAGACTTGACCCTAACGTTCCAGGAGTTTATGTTAACCTTTCTGGTTCAGATGGAAATGCTGCCACTAAAGTAAAACTGAAACTTAGAGTTCCTTTGTCATCTTTCCTCATCTTCAGGTTTTTAAGATACTTACCAAACTGGGCAGGAAAAATTTCTATCGAACTTACTCCAAGCAAAAATAACTTAGTCATTGCACCAACACAAGACCCATTCACTCTTACAGACGTAATAGGAACAAATAAAACATCATTCGCCGACTTTTGCAAAGACAAAGTTGACTTAGACTTTGGTTTCTCAAACTTCAACAATGAAGTAAACTATTATTTCAATGCTGCTGGAACTGCTTGGGACCCAGTTAAGTTTACATGCGAAAAATTTGAATGCAAGAGAATAGAAAGCAGACTTGCAGTCTATATGTTGGACCCAGATATTTCAAATGCTTTAGCTGCCAAATATATTGCAGTTCCACTTATGTTCCCTATACACCAAATATCTGTCAAAGACTTTGCAGGTGAAGTTGGAAACCAAAGTGCTGACCCAGGTGCAAGAACAGATATTGCTTTAACAACTGCAATGAAACATGCAGATACTATGTTTGTACTGTTCAGACGAACTATAAATGACTATTCTTGTTTCTACAACCCTGGTATTAAATATCATATAAACATAGATGGCAAATATTATCCAAGAGAAGAATATTCTACAGTTGAGGATATGAGGTCATACAACTTGACATTAGATGCTATGAACTTTAACAACAACTTCACAACAACCATTAACCCTGAAATGCAAAGTTCTATTATGCCATATGTGAAAGTATGGACTCATACAGGAGGTCAAAAAACTCAATATACAAATGGAGACCGTTCAAACTTTTGGCTTGGCATTCCATTTGCTGACTCAGAAGACTTTATGGGTGGTATTTCAACTGTTGGTACAGTTCAAATACAATATACTGGTGACAGAGACGGTCCAGATGAACTGAGAGCAAAGAAGTTTACAAAACCAATAGCACTTTTCACGGAAGATGCTCTTTTGAAGATTCGTTCGATGAAACCTGCTGGGGCTCCTCAGATTGGCATAACGACAGCTTCCATCGAGCAGATTTTGGCAGCAGGTCAGTAAGTTGTTCTTGAACTGACTTCTCTCCGTCAAATATTGACAGTACGCCAGTTTTGACATAATATTGTAAGATAAACTTACCTTTAGAAATATCTGTAAGTTTTGAAGTTATATTTTTGTCTGCTTCAAGAACTTTCACCATTTCAGTTATACCAACTTTCTTTGCTTTATGAAAATATTTTGGTTCAGCAAAGACTGCTATTCTATAACATTTACCATTGTTTGTATAAAGAACTATTCTGTCAATGTATTTGTATTGTTGTGTGTGTAAACTTTGTTCTGCTTCAATTCGAAGAGATACTCGAATACGTCCATCTTTTTATTCTAAGTAAAATGTCATTTCCTAAAAATAGAAGCGTGAGTGTTTCAAAAGGTTTAATGGCGGTGGCAGATGTGAAGTTAAATTCACCAACTCAAACAAACAGTCAAAGTGTTGTTGTCAATGTCAAAGACAGAGATGTTGAAGTGGGGAAACCATACGAAGACGAAGATGGTATAACAATTGTTCCTGTAAAAGAACAACCAACATATCCTGAAGTTAGCAGAGACTTAAGTTCTGTTGCAGATATTCGAAACGACTACCAACAACTGAAAGACAAACTTCAAACTCAGGAGAAGATTTGTCAGGCTTTAAGTATAATGTTAAACTTGGTCGAACACAACCCTGTAAAAGTGAACTCATATGTCATTGCACCTCATGAAGTTTTGAAAGAACTATTGAAACTTTTGACAGAGGCAGACGATATAAACATCAAAGAAATAGAACCCGACATTAGTTGCTGTGGTGTTTCATATAATGTCATTGACAAGATATACGTTATGAAAGGAGGTGAAACGTTGAACTTAAAGTATAGTTTCCCAGACGTCATAAAAATATTTGACGACCACAACATTTCATTAAAATTTATTTGCTAAGTAAAAATGTCAAAACTTCTTGAAAGATGTTTGAAGAAAAATAATATAGACTTTATTTCATGTAAAGGACTTTACACACTTTTGAACGATATGAAAGACCCTGTTTTGTTTGTTCGTGTAGACAAAGGAAAGTTCTATGTCTTTACAAAATATTTGAACTTCTTAGACAGAGAACTTCAAGAAACGCCATGTGAAAGTTTAGATGAAGTTCTTCTCCACTTTCAGAAAAACTTTTAAATATATATAAATGGCAGAAGATATAATGGTTTATACTATTACGACTAAAAACCCTGAGTCATATAATTCTATAACAACAAACTTACAAAGTCCTCAAGGACGATATTGTAAACTAACCTTAAACACAATGACGACTAAAGCCTGTTTTGCTCTTTTGACACCAGAAGACTTTATTGTTGTGAATGGTAAAAAATACTCCTTTGAAGATACTTACTCAGATATACCACCAACAGGTTTTGTTGACTTATTTAATACTTTAAGTACGGGTGTAACATGTGCTGCAACTAGAGCAGGTTTCATTATGTTTGGATGTCCGACTGAGTTTACTATAAACAATATGAGCTATAATACAAAACTTATATCTGGTTTTTACTACCAACAGTTTCCTATAACAGGAAAAGGTGTCATACAAGGTTTGTCTGTTCCATTGACATTAAGCACACCAATCTTATATATTGTTTCAAACTTAGGTTCAAAGTGTTATTCGAATGTCGACAGAAACTATTATGACCAAAAGATACTTATGCGTATAAACAATACTTTCTCTGCTGGTTTGCCTATTGTTCATTCGAATGCAGAATTTTCAACCTTAGTGAACTCAAACACATTGGCAAGTATAACGTTGACATTAGTTGACGCAAACTTTGTTCCTGTAAAACTTTTATGTCCTATGTATTTGTCAATGACGGCAGAAAGTTTCGAATTGGAAGATGCAACTGGTGAAAGTATTGTATTACAAGAACAACTTCAACAACAAATAGCTCAAGAACAACAAATGCAACAAATGCAACAACAAAGTCAAGAATAAAAAAAATATTTTTTTATTTTTATAAAAATGTACAGAATAGATGTTTCAGATTTTATGACTTCCAAGCATTCAGAAATATGTGTCCATTTCGAGACTATAACAAAGCAGTCGAGAATTTGAAACGTTTAGTCATTTATGTCGACTCTGCCCCAGAATGTTATGTCATGAAAGAATGGGATGTTGTCTTTAACAAACCAAGAGCAACAATAGTTTCAGAACAAGAATGTAGACAGAAACTTAAGAAAATAAAAGTCGTACAAGTTGGCATGAAGATGTTAGATGCTTGGGATATCTTATTGTCAAAGTTAGAAGATTTTTCAGTTCGAGGTATAAAGTTCTATACACCTTCTCCAAACTTCTATTCTATCTTCACTGGATATAAATACGAACAAGTAGAATGGAAAGAAAATATTATAGAAGCTTGGTTAGACCATGTCAAAGAAATTATATGCAATGGAAACGAAAAGGTTTATGAGTATATCTTATGTTGGTTTGCAAACATCTTACAACATCCAAGTGCTAAAAATGAAACTGCTCTCATTATAATTGGAAAACAAGGAACTGGTAAGAACACATTCTTTACAGATATTTTGTGCAAACTGTTAGAGGGCTATTCGAACCCGAATATGACAAACTTAGAAAACATCTGTGGCAAGTGTTTAACTCCTCAATAGAGAATATGAAACTTATAGTTTGCAATGAACTTCAAAGTATAGATACAACAAAAGTTTTAAACTCAGATGCTTTAAGAGTCTTATAACAGACAAAGTTGGAGTTGTTGAAAGAAAATATAAAGACCAAAGAGTTTGTGAAAATGTTGCAAACTTCATTATGGTTTAAACAATACTGTTCCGATGAAGTTAGAAAGTTCTGACAGAAGATATGTAGTTGTCAGAACGTCAGATTCTCATATGCAAGATACAGAATATTTGACGACTTAGCAGAAACTTTGACATCTGACTTTTACAACCACTTGTTTCATATTTTATGACATTAGATATTTCTAAGTTCAATCCAAGACAAATTCCACATACCGAAGAGAGACAAACATTGTTAGAAGCAAACAAGAAGTGTATATGAACTGTTATAGATGAAACTGACTTTGTGTCATTAGATGAAAGTCATTGTACGATTCGTATAAACAATATTGTCAAGAATAATGGTTATATGACAGCTTCTAAACGAACATTCTTGCAAATGTCAAAAGTCTTTTAGATGTTCAGAATGGTGTATATACAAAGAAAATTTTTTCTGAGTAAATTTAAAAAAAAATCTTTTTTTATCCGATAGAAAAGATGGCAAAATTCATCTCAGTAAATAAGTACATGACAGAAGTCAAAGATAAGTTAGCTCCATTCGCATATTGAA